CCCAGCCCTGCTCGCAGTGCTCGTCGTTACCCACACGCTTCTTCCCAGGAATTAAGGCTTCAGTTCTGGTGAACCTGCGCTCTTACAGGGCTGTAGGAAGCCAAAAGGCAACTTCTACATCCAAGCTGAGTTTTCCCTGTTGTTTCCTTAATGCTTGTCTTCAGTGAAAGCCGCCGGAGAGGAAGGCTGCTTGCCAGGCGGCTGCGTGGCGTGGCTTTGGCAGCAGCAGGAGGCTGTGAGTCAGCGGGGCTGGGGCTGGTCGGGACTGGGTTTGGTTGGGGCTGGGGCTGCTCGGTGTCTCACGGGGCTGCACCCAGCACCCCAGGCTAAGGCTGGAGCTGCCCGGCTGGGAAGGCAGCGGAGCTGCAGCTGGCTGGGGAAAGCAGGCAATGGGAACGGGGGGAAACCTGCAAAGGAGAGGAGAGCTCGGGTATTGTGGGAGAGCAGAGAGCAAGTCATCCGAACGAGTCGCCCAGGCAGCCTTCTCAAGACACGAAATGAGGGATCTGAAGTGCTGCATGTGCAGCAACTTGCCAGAAGCTGCTTCTTAGGAAGAGGATGTTGTGATAATCCATCCGGAATGGGAAGCGGGGCCAGTGCGAGGCTTGTTTATTTCTTTAGCGTTGAATTTACAAGTGAGTGTTTTCAGAGAACGACTGGACTCTTCTGTGGCACGTTAGGTGATGCACTAGGTGACAGAGGAGGGGGGAAGGTGCTTGGATGGCCTCCTGGCCGCCCCGGGGGGCTCCTGGAGCAGCCTTGTCCATGACCCGCATCAGCTGGGTGCAGGGCTGCTGGCACGGCCACATCCCACGGCTCCTTTGAATGGTTCAGCTGGGACAAGGACATTATTCGAGGACATTATTCCTCTTCTTTCTTCCATTTATGCACCTACAGAGACCCATGTGGTGTTCGTGTGTTTAAGCAAATTAAAGCTATTAATATTGCAATAAGTGCTGGTGGGCTGGGCAGGGCAATAGCCACCAGGCATTGCTGTCCATCGATGAGGCACTTCAGGTGACAGGTGGCACTGATACTTCCCAGCAATAGATTGACCATTGCGTTCCAGAGGGAAATTTCACTCTTACTTTAAAAATTGTCCTAAGGCAGAGGGTTATACACATCTCCATGAGCTGTACCGCTATTGCTAAGCCAAGATTTTTATTTAATCCACTTCTGCTGAAATTCTGTTCATCTTCTGACAAACGGGAGGTGATGTTTCCTTAGCTTCAAGTCTAGCAGGCTACAATGAGAGCAGTAAAAAGGAAAAAAGCAAGCAGCACGAGCTGGGATGTGTCGTTGTGTCCGTGATCTGTGCCTGTGCCCCTGGGCTTCCAGCTGCAGGCTCAGATGCTGTTCGTCACCACGCTGAAGCTGAATGCAGCCTGAACAGTTGGCCAGGAAGAGCAAAGTGGAGCAAAGCGCGATAAGGTTACACAGAGATGAGCTGAGCAGTGCAGGTACCGCAATTCAATGAGCTCCTGCTGCTGCTGGCACAGCCGAGCTGGGGTGATGAGCTGCGTTTGCCCCAAGACAGAATCAAGGTGGCAGCTTAAATTTCCTTCGCTGGAAATTCCTGAGTGGTTCATGTCTCACGTGCAGCAGGCTGGGAACACGGCTGCTTGCAAGCGCCAGTTTCCAGGTGGCAGTGCAAGCACTTTCCTTCATCAGCCCACACCCAGAAAGAAAAACACCCGCTGAGGGCAGATCAGGAGGTCTGTAGAGGAGAATGCTCTCAGGTATCCGTCTGTTTCAGCTGGGGGCTCTGCTCGGCGATACCCGAGAGCCAGTTTGTGTCCTGAGCCAGTGCTCTGACTGCTTGCAGGGGGAACGGGGAGGAATTTCTGGTGCCTCCTCTGTCTGCAGCGGTACCACCAAGGCAATGGCCTGAGCTTGCAGGCTGGTTTTTTGGTGCATCTTTTCCTCTTACTCTTAAAATGCACTTATAGAAACAAGTTAAACGAATTAAAGATTTTCGTGTCATGTTTGCACTTTTGTCCTGTGCTCTTCAGGCGATCCATCTGCCCCAGAAATCTCAGTGCAGATTACAGCTATTACAGATATTTCTGTCAACCCATGGTACCGTCCTTTACACATCCCTCCTGCTGGCTGAGCTGCACTCCTCGTTTCTGGCTTTCTCTCAGCCTGAGCAGTTCCTACCAGCCGCAGATGCCAGCAGCCCATGTGAGTAACTCCAGAAATGGTCTCTGCGGGTGAGGATGACCCCGTTACACCAGCACACTTTGAGGCCGGTTTTGCTCAGCAGACGGGGAGCTGCAGAGGCCCCACGGAGAGGCTGTGCCCAGGGAGGGCCGGGGGAGAGGTGGTGACACCGGGAGCTCCAGCACTGGGACACAGCCAAGAGCAGGGAGAGCAGTAACGGGTCACTGCCCTCTGTCACTGGTAATTAGGCCCACTTAATAAATCCCTTATGAAGGGGTCAGAGGGGAGTCAGGGCACACACATCTGTCATCTGCTGCTGGTGGGAAAACCCCTTGTTAAAAGCCTCATCTTTCCTGCTTCAGGCACATGTCAGTAGTTCTCTGCTTAAAAAATAAATCAGAAAGACGAGGTCTAATACCAGGCTTTTTTCCTTACAGCAGATGTAATATTTACTGATAAATAGCTATTTTTCTATCTCTGCTTTGAACCTAGCTTCAGGTGATGGTGGCCTTTCCTTCCTATTTCAGACTGCATGGACAGGAACTCAGGTGGGTGCTGTCCTGTATTGATGACAGACCCAGCAGACCCCAGAACGCCACGGGATGGCACAGTTTGGCACGGCGCTCCGTCCTCTCCTGGAGCTCCCTGGGGTCCTTTTCTGAGCCCCCCACCTGCCTGCACCCCCAGCTGCCCTCTCCAGCCCAGGCTTAGTCCTCAGCCCGGGGCTGTGCCCACCTTCACACGAGGCTGATCTGAGGCTGGCAGTGACTCATCTCAGCCCGATGCTTGGTGCATGTTTGGTTGTGTTTGTATTCCTCATGCTCCTGGAATTCTTCGTCTTGCAACCAAATTCTTCTTCTTGGCTTGCAACCAAAATGTGGACGAATCCCTGCATCATTTACATCACAGCTCCAGGATGGGAAAAGGAAAACGTTTACCTAAAGTGCCTTCTGTGCTTGGTATTCCTCCAGTCCCCACGAGTCCTCTCTGTGCACATCACTTTCGGAGATGCGTGGGGCTCTGGGTGTGCTCCATCCCCGCCCCAGCCTGAGGTCTGTCAGACCCAGCTGTGTTTTTCTCCCAGTTAAAGCTCTCAACATCCTCCTCTGCTGCTTTTTCATCGTCTCCTGCATACCTGCAGTGTTTGTTTTCTTGGTCTCTTCCATGCCCTGTTGTTTCTGGATCGTGTGTCTTGACCTAAAGTAGAGGCTTGCTGGGAGCGACGTGGGCGTGAGTTAGAGCAAACATCTCCTGTACCTGATTTCACTGGGGCGTAAAGAGATTCTGGGGTACAATAAATATTGTTCTTGCCTCAGGTATGAGATTCCTCATCACTCTAAATGACAAGTAATTTTTATATTAAAAAACATTTTATTAAAGGTTTTGACAGGAGACGTGACACAAATTATTTCTCAGCAGCCTGAGAGGTGTATTTCGACCTCTTCTTATCGGATGAAGTCTCTGCTTCTCTTACAAATTCACCATTTTTTGAGTTTTCTGGGAAAAAGAGAATAGGTTCTCATGCCTTTCTATGCAGGGATGCTGCTCACACCCAGGCATTAGGAAAGCTTTTAAATGCTTGCACAAATTAAAAGGAAGGGAAGTGAAAGCCCGAAATTTGCTTTGTCATTTTGAGGGAGGATTTTTTTTTTCTTTCAAAAACTGTTTGCTAATTGTATTTTAAGGTAGCAAAGATGAATTTGAGGCCCTGGAGGCCTTTCTGCTCTACATTTGGAATACTCAGGAAGGCAGTAACATGTCCGTGTTACTTCAAACTATGTCAGCACCTTTTTGGTAGAGATCCGTCTCAAATTTAGCGAGACCAACAAGTCTGGAGATGGCGAGCAGAGTGTGGGGGCTGGCACGGTTTGCTCTGACATAAACCCTCCCTCACGCTCACCTTCCTGCCCTACATCTGCAGGAGCACTGATGCCAAAACCTCCGGGTCCTCAGGGAGTTTTAGAGGAACCTGTGCTGAGAAGCCGAGTTGGGCTGCGGGTGCTTGGAGTGTTGTATGGGGTGGCTGAGCCCATGTGTGGCTGCCCTGAGGCACGTCAGTCTGGATATCAAAGCTATAAAAACGGCTGTACCAGTAACAGGAAGAAATTAGGGTTAAGAAATTAGGGTTGCTCTAACCGGGATAGCAGCTGGACAGGGAATCACGGCTGGCTTCATTGGGCTGATCATCCTTATCTTTAGCTTCCTTGCTACATCCTTGTTTGAGATTTGCTAAACAGTAAAAAAAAAAAAAAAAAAGATCTGCTTCAAACATGTTTTTGGTGTTGTTTTTTTTTCAGCACCTAAAAAAACAGTTGCTTACTTCTGTTCTCTCGGGCATCCACACTTTAAAGTAGCTGTTCTGCTAAGTGTTGGAAAAGGAGGGGTTCCACACCGAGTTGTAATTCTGCTGGAAACTGAGGATTTGAAACTGGATCTCCCTCTTCTCTGGGATCACAGATTTTTTCAAGAGTTGCTTTCTTACCTCGTATGCCTCTGTGCTCTGTGGTATCAGTATGGTACTGCCCTACAAACAGCTGTTCTGATGGTTCGCAGGAGCTGTCACGTATTATGGAATGCCAGGCGTGTTACAAAATTTTGAATTTCATCCTTCAGACTTTTTTTTTTGCTTCCCCGTTCAAATTGAATAAATACTGACACGGTTCTTGTTTTTCTAAGTACTGATGGAGCTCAGATTTTCCTTTGTTGTGGCACCTGGGTCACAGTTCCTCCCGACACCACCTTCAGTTCTCACACCCAGCTACGGTGCCAGCAAAAAATGTTGGAGTGAATCGTTTCTGCTGCCTCTGAATTCAGCGGTGTCTCTGCTTCTCTTTCAGTAACTCGTCACAACCACCTGAAGGACTTCATGCTGGTGGTGTCCATTGTCATCGGAGTGGGAGGCTGCTGGTTTGCCTATATCCAGAACCGCTACTCGAAGGAGCACATGAAGAAGATGATGAAAGACCTCGAGGGGCTTCACAGAGCTGAGCAGTCTCTCCATGACCTTCAAGAAAGGTAAGCTCTCTGCGTGGAGCATTCAGCTGGTGACCTTTCCTGCAAAGTTTTTCCTCGTTTAGATTTCCAGCAAGACGATTTTTGCATATGAAGATGTGTTCATGCTCACTTGACCTGCTTTTTTGGGGTTAATTAAGTGTTAACTGAGTTAAGCCAGGGCTCTCATGGTGTGCCATGTGAAGGCTTGAGTGGTAAGAACTTCCTGGCATTACTGGGGTCCTGAATCTGTGCAGTGAAGCCACTTGAGCAAAGTGACACCTGGCACTGGGAGGTGCACCCGAGGGCACGGTGACACGGAGCCGAGCACGCTGCGTGTGCTCACCCGGAGGTTGCTAACGAGCAGTTTCATTTCCTTTCTGCCTTGTTTTCACGTTGTCTGCCTGTGTGTTAGTTCCTGCTCTGCCCTGATTGCTGGCTCTAAAAAATCATTTCTGAGTGTCGAGGAGATCTTGACTCCGTGCAGCTTTGTTGTTGCTGGCACATGGGAGCGCTCTCCTTCCCCTTGGAGGTTCGGTGCTTTAAGGTGTAAAACATCAATCTGAGGACAAGCGATTTGAGCACTCCTTGGGGGCCTGACAGTGCTTTGCCACTCGTAGCTCTGCCGCAGTCTCTAATTCTGAGCAGGTGCCTCCTACACACTCACCACAGTTCAGTGCATAGCAGCAGTGACATGTTCGGTGGTTTCTACTCACAGTCCGACTCCTGTTGAAAATACATCAGGACTTCCCCTCTGCACTTAAAATTACGGTGTAAACCTGCACCTAAAAGGGAAAAAAGCCTCTGAAAGCATGTAAAGTCATCCAGTTCACGTAGAACTTGTCATCCAGCTTGTTTCACTCCGGGTTTTGGCCATCAGGAAGCGCACTGATAGGGTGGAAGCAGTCAGGAGAGGAATCGCACATCCTCTCTGGGATTCCTCTTTGGGCTGTGTGTAGCTGTCGGTGCTTCCCTGCCTGCTCAGTAATACCTAACCCTGGAAGAATGAAAAAAAAACACGTGGGGGGGGTATTAAATGTGAGTGGGTGAACTGTAGGCACTTAGGCAAAATACCGTAGCCTGAGGAATGTAATCTGTAGCCACAGAAATTATGACGGTGGTTCCAGGAAAGCTGCTCAGCAGAGAATGGGCTGACAAAGCAGGCTCCCTAGTACAGGGGTTTTGTAGGGAAGGAAGAGCACGCGGGGCTGCTGCTGACAAACCAGGGGGGTTTCTGGCAGTAAGGTTTTGTTACGGGTCGATTTAGCAAGGAGCAGAGCACGGTAAACTTCAGCTCTCCTTTTTACTAATTTTAAACGTAATGTTGAAGGATAAACCTTAATTTGGCTGCTGTGCAAGTTGACAGCGACGTTCCCAGTGACGTCTCTGAGAGCGGAGCCAGCCCCAGTTACGTGGGGGCAGTGCTGCAGGTGACCGGGACAAATGCCAGGATCCTAAAGATGCAGATCCCCAGGGGAGACTTTCACAACCAGCTGAGGCTTCGGAAACAGTGCGATGAGCACACGGGACCACAGCACGATTCCTTACCTACCTGCTTCTGACAGCCTCCTAGGAAATGTCTGTGTGCGAGGGATGCTTGAAAGCCTGTCACTGCCCTGAGAGTACGATTGCATCGGTTGGTGTCTGTATGGAGAGAGGAAACTCGACAGACTGCTACGTGTCAGTGGTGCAGATACGTGACCTCCTTTCTCTTTGACTTGAAGAGCGAAGAAGCTGCATTTCCTCTCCATCTGCTGAGGAGCTGGTTCTAATCCACAGCTCATTTCACACAGCTTTGCATAATTTTGCATTACAGCCTGCAAATATCCCAGAGAAAAAGATTTGTTTTATTTTTTTCTGCAGCCAGGACACAGGAATTCCTCCTTGGTGTCCAGCTCCTGCAGCAGCTGCCCGAGGTGGTGGTGCCCATCGGTGTGACCACGCTATGTGGGAGCCTTGGGCCCTGCTTGGAGGGCATCTGTTAAAGGAGATGGGCCTGGGAAGCTTAACCAATGCTGCAAAGCCAGCATTGAATTCTCCTGCAGAGGTGGGTATGCCTTCACTTCTCCAGCCTTGCTTCCTGGGAAGGTTCAGCTGTGGAGCTCAGCTGCTGTAAAAATGGCAAAAACTACCAGGAGGAGCCTTCCCGTGGACCTGGGTAGAAATTAGGAAGTTCTGCTTGAAGTAACCTCTTCTAGCTCATGGAAATCCAGCTGGAACCTCTGGAGGGTGAACGATGCCTTCTTCAGCCCTGTACTGACCGCTGGCACTGCTGCCTGGCTGACAACCCCGGTATGTTCTCAAGGAATGTATACATCAAGGGCCATTTTCTGTTCATGTTCTCTCTTTTGAGAACATCCTCCAGCTGAGTGACCCAGCAAAACAGAAAAGTTCAGGTCTTAGCACGTCCATCTGAGGACTGTGCTCCCAAAATGTGAAGCCCCCGATGCACCTCGGTTCCGTGGCACCTTGCTGTGTCCTGGAGCTCGGTGCACAGGACCCAGGGGGGCTGAATCCGATGCTCTGCACAGACATCCAGATGGAACACACAAAGCGTGGCTTTGTCCATAACCAGCATAAGAAAATAGACACTCTGCTGCTGGGAAATAAACAGAAGTAAGGGAAAACAGAGTATTAGTGTGCCTTGGAAAGTTATATTAAGGATAAAATTCCCAGGGAAGAATTCTGCGTAATAGCATAGGGAAATTTCTCCTTTAAACAGAGATGTTTTGGTGGTTTGGGATTCTAACAGCCCTGGTGTGGAAGAGCTTTAGCAATGATGCACAGGGCAGAGAGCGTGGGTTTATCTGAAAACTTGGAATGTCTTGGCAAAACCTCTTCAAATCGTGAAGAAAAACATTTGAGTTTCTCAGCAGAGCTGTAAATTGAAGATAAACCCTTTCCAAGAAGAGAGCCAACATCGTGGCTGCTGAGAGTCCAGCCCATCCAGATCTGTTCTGAATTGCTGTCTGCATGCCAAGGAGGAGCCTGGGGGCAGGAGCACGCCTGGGACCACGAGCTGCAGGCAGCAGTCGGTCACTGTATTTGTCCCTCCTTGCACCACTCGTGGTGCCCCAGGGACCCCGCTCCCCAGAGCCCTGCTCGCTCGGCCGGCGCTGCCTCGCTGTCCCCAGACACCAAACCTCGCTGTCCCCTCCGCTGTGCTGCTCAGCACATCGCCCCGTTGCCTTGCTCTCCAGTTTGGATGCTGAGGATCTGGAGTGGGAGAAGATCTTGGCGTTATGGAATTCTTACTGCTGGCTGAGATGATTTCGTTTGTGGCTTTCAGGGAGTTTTTCTTTTCATTTTGTTTGGGTGGCAGTGACAAGGGACATCACTGCCTCTTCTCAGCACGGCTGCATTCCTGAAGCTAGAAATTGTGCTAGGATAGGGATGTGAAATTGTGCCAGGATAGCACAGCTCCCACAAAGTGAAGACACAGCAGAAACCTTGACACAACTCGCATTGACTGCAGTGTCACGGCCCGCAGCGGGCTGAGGCTGAAGGGCTGCAGGTAATCTGTTATCACTTGCTGTTGCCACACGTAATCCCTGACGATTTCATCCTGTCAGGAGGAAAAATAATCACTTCCAGGCAAGATAAAGACTTGTCTAAATTTGAACACTTTTGCAAGTGGAATATGGAGATGTCCCATCTGTGCATTCATACCTGCTCAGGCCTACCTTCCCCTCCTGCTTTTTTTTTCTTTAATTAATTAATTAATTAAAGGCAGATTTTTTTGTGAAAACACTGAAACTTCAAATGAAATTGGTGAGCGTTTAAAAAATGAAGTAAAGGTGAGAATCCAGAGTTGACAACTTAATTTCTTCTCAGGCATGGTGAACTTTTTCCTTGAGTTTTCAGATCCGATCTCTGTTCACATCAGCGTAGAGCAAACAGGATCGGGGCTGCTCGGGGCTGCGGCTGGCCAGCAGGCACATCGTGGTGCAGGACAGCCCGGTGTGCACAGCACTGGGCTCTCGGGCTCTCTCTTTGCAGACTGCAGAAGGCACAAGAGGAACATCGCTCTGTGGAGGTGGAAAAGGTGCACCTGGAGAAGAAGCTGCAGGATGAGATCAGCATCGCCAAGCAGGAGGCACACCGGCTCCGAGAGCTGCGGGAGGGCACAGAGAATGAGCTGAGCAGGCAGAAATACGCCGAGCAGGAGCTGGAGCAGGTATGGGGTCATGGTGGGGCACTTAGCAAGGGGGCATGGGGACACTTAGACACGCCAACGAGAGCAGGAGGCAGCTCCTCGCTCTGCTTCTTCCTTCTGAGGAATCCAGTGATGTTCTGCTTCCGACACTTTTTGCTTTTCCACTCCCCTTTGTGGAGGAAAAGATCCATGCATTTCTTCCTCCACTTCCCAGTACACATCCCCCGTAAGGAATTACAGCGCTGCTTGCTGTTGGGTGGCAGGGACAGCAGAGGTGCTGTCTCAGGGGACGTGCTGCTGTCACGTCATCCCAGTGCGCCTTCCAAAAGGAGAGGCACTGAACTTGGCCTCTAGCTGCACCCCTCTGGTGACTGCTAGCCCCAGCTCCAAACCAGAAACTCTTTCTTTTCTCTTTTGTATTTATTTGGGGTTTTAGGAAGAATGCAGAACGAGTTCTTACTGTGTTTTCTTGTGGCACAGAGGTGTACAAAGCAAATTTTCTTCCAAGGAAATTTAACGCTAGATTAGAATCTGTATAGGTTAGAGGTCATTTGCAATTCTCAAAAACATTAGTTTTAAATCTAGACTGACAGGAAAATGCATTCCCAAGCTGCAGATGGAAACACAGGCCTAGAGAGAATATTGTGTGTAGTGCTGCTGGAGACAATGAAATGAGTTTGGTCCAGAAGTACACACAGGTGGAACATGTGTGATACTGTGAAAATAACTTGTCATAGGTCAGAAAAAGGATTCCCAATCCTACATCTAAAAACCTTGATTCCTATAAGCCACAGGGAAGTGATGGAAACCAGGGACATTGCTGATGGCACCTGCCTGCAGTTGCCATCTTTTGCCCAAACCTACAAAGAAAGTCCAAAACACAAATCCAATTTCTCCTTCCTGTTTCACCCGAGAGAAAGTTCTTAACTGACCTTAATTCATAGAACAGTTTAAACTGAAATTTGACAGAATGGCACGGGCCAAGCAAGTGCCTTGGCTGTTCTAGGGCCACCAGCGTGCCCTTCCAGCCTGGCTGTGTTCTGCCACCATGGAGGGTGGGGAAGAAAATGAAACAAGAATCCAGAGTTTCCCACTGGCAAGGGAAGAGCATCTGTCCTGGGCCAACAGGTAGCCAGGGAACCATGGGGCAATGTAGTTTTAGTGTGCAAATAACCAGCAGTCAGCCAGTTTCCTTCCCCCTTCCTCTCTTGTTGGTAAGAGCCCTTCAGACACCCACAGACTCCTGCGAGAAGCTTTGCTCTCTTGGTCCCATTCCTCCTAACTTGTCCTGCAGCCTCCCCACAAATTCATCGAGCTCCTGGTCAGAGCATGCACCTTGTGCCCAAGCTGCTATGACCTTGGGAGAAGGCAGAGCACCATCCATTCCACTTTCCCCCTCCACTTTACATTTGTTAAGATATCTGAAAAGCCAGAGATGACTTAACCACTCTGTTGTTTCTCAGAGGCCTTCGTGAGGGATGCATTGCAAGGGTGAGTATCGGTTTTATCCACCTGACCCCACTGTGTGGCTGTAACACAATCACCACCCCAATGAACTCCAGACCACAAATACACTTAACCAGTCACTCCCACTGACCGTAAACTCATCTGGTTTTAAGATAAACTTGGGTCCCAGTGAATATTAGAACAAGACCCTCTTTTGCACCAGTTGATTCTTACCACTAAACCAGTATTCCTGCTGGAGCCCAGCATACGAGATTAAAAACCTGGAGATTTCAGGGACTGGGCTCTCGTGTGTGTACCAGGTTGTTGACACCGATCCTCTCTCCTCACTAGGTCATACTCCTCCCAAACCATGGCCCCTGACCTCAGATTCAGAAGGCGTTTGTTGCTTTCTAATCTGCTCTTAGTGGTCATACTGAGATTTTAGAAATCTCCCCAGGAGAATACGCAGAGTCTGTTTGCACTTACTGATCACGATCAGGGTTCTGCATGGACTGGGGGAAGCACTCGGTGCAGCTGACATCCAAGGGGAAAAAACAGGCTGTCCTGGGGGCTGTGATGCTGGATTTGAAACTTTTGAATGACTCAGGCCATGTTATGTTCAACAAGACTGAATCTTACCCAAAACTGATGTTATAAGTAGCTCACCTCTTCTGTGGTGCCCCCTGGCTACTTCTGGATGAATTCTGCAAATGTGCTCCAGCAGAAAGTGTGAGATGAAAGCATTTGGGAGTAACGTGGTGCTTTTGGCTTGCCAGAAGTTGTGCTTGTGCTGGATTTGGAGAAAAGTGACTGTGCTAAACAACATGCTCATGGAAAAGATTCAAGTTTGAGCAATCCTATAAAAAACGCACATCTTTAGTTCGAAAATGAAAAGGCACTGGCACCTTGCTAGCTAAAGGCAGGTGTGAACAGAGCCACGGGGAACAGGCATTGAAGGTCCCACTGACCGTGTGCTCATTAGGTCAAGGGCCCAGAGACCAGAAATAGGAAATGGGTTATCTGCAGAGCTCCCTGAGCCATCTGCAGAGCTCCCTGGGCCATCTGCAGAGCTCCCCAGGCTTTCTGCAGAGCTCCCCAGCCCTGCCCCACGATGGCACGCTGTCTTGTGGCTGGACCCCCGACCACACGCTGCCAGCAAGTGCTTTTTGTTGGCGGGGTTTGCTTGCCGTGGCAGTGAGAGCACCTGAGTGTGCTCGGGGCTGGAGCTTTGTCAGCAGCGAGGCCGTGGTGCAGCTCCAGCCACGGGCACCCCTCCTGGGCTTCCAGGTGCTGTGGTCGAGGGGCGCAGCGGGGCTGAGCTGCAGTCCCCATCCCGATGTGGAACAAGTGAGCAGGGCTTAGCGGTGGTGAAGTCCCTCCACACCACGTGTAATTAAAGAGACACACTAATTCTTCATGCACTAAGTGCTTGTGTATCAGTTTTGGTGTCTTCGACCTGCTGATCACCCACTTCCTTCTAATTTTGTAATCGCCCTGATCCCCAGCAGGATAAGTGTGTGCAGGAGACGAGCTGCGAGGGAAGGAGAGTCCCCAGGAGAGCTGCAGGAGCTGCCGATTCCAGACGTGGCATTTCTTTTTCTGACCAAGTAGCACATGTTTTGTGTCTAAATATTTTTGTCATCTTGCTCCAGTGCGAAAGTTGTCTTTTGACAAGCTCCCTCTGTTTGGCTCGGTAGCTGCAGTGAAAGGAGGCAGTTGCCTGCGCGGTGTTGTCAGCAGTTTTGCTTCGGGAGGAGGAGAGTTTGTGGGTTTAGCAGATCTGAAAGCAGGCAGCAGAGATTTGTAGAGGCTGGAGATAAGCACTCTGAACATCCTTACCTAAAGGCTCGTTCCCTTTTAACTAACTTGCTGTCAGCTCTGGAGGATTTACCGTCCATGCCAGAGGAGCTGCCCGAACAGATGGGCAGAGCAGGACGTGCTCAGCGCTGCTGCAGGGAGGCAAAGCAGCTCTGCAGCTGCTGGAGGGTTTTGAGAGAAACCTTAAAAAAAAAAAACAAAACACCTTTGAGATGAAAGGACAGCACTGTGGGCTGCTGTGGTCATCCAAGCGGGGCGCTGGGTGGCCGCCCACCTCGCACTCCCCCGTGCCACCTGCTCACAGTACCGGGATGCCACCGCTCCTATTGACTTCAGCTCCTGTCACGAGTCAGATTAAGTTGCGTGGGGTCTTTTCTTTTGTTTTTTTCCTTTTTATTGGTGCACCAAAAGCCCTGTGCTCGCCCCCAGCAGTTGCCCGGTGGGTCCCCGGTGGCACGCTGCGGGCAGCGGCTGTCCCCAGCCCTCCATCACTGCCCGTCTGCCTCTCCCCAGGTGCGGATGGCGCTGAAGAACGCCGAGAAGGAGCTGGAGTCTCACTGCAGCTGGGCTGCGCCCGAGGCCCTGCAGAAGTGGCTGCAGCTGACCCACGAGGTGGAGGTCCAGTACTACAACATCAAGAAGCAGAACGCAGAGAAGCAGCTGCTGGTGGCCAAGGAAGGGGTGAGGATCTCAGTGTCCTTGTCCCAGGTCTTCCCCGCGCGGTGCTGGAAGAAATGGGAAATGAAACTTGTGTCAAAGTCTGTTCTGCATCTTCCTCCCATTTCCTTGCAGCGAGCCACTTCTGCATTCATCTGCTGTGTCACGACATGCCAGAAGCCTTAGTGCACAGCAGTGCTAAACAAATCAGTGTGAGGTCCTGCAGTCCCATAAATTGTTCGGGTGAAAGACACGATGCAGTTACGTGGCTGTGGCTCTTGGCTTCATCATATCTAGTGCCTTAGCTCTGCCTTTTTAAAGTGCAGCAGGTGCACTTTAATCACTAAAAGCAGTGAGTAGCAATTGCCCCTCAGATCTGCAGGCACGGACTGGGGCCATGCCCCTCAGCCCCGCAGCACCCAGCAGGCTGCAGTCCCGTGGAGGTGCAGCGTTAGCTGTGGGCTGTGCGTGGTGCAGACAGTTCTGCACCTTTACAAATAATGTTTTAGAGGCATGGGAAACAAAATTTATAACGTGCATGCAAACTGTAGTGATGAATCATCATCTCTCTGTTCCCAGTGAAGAAATGTCTGTGCCAACTAAAAGGGGAGCAGCAGGGAAGCTGCTGGAACACGCGCTCGTCTCTGTGGCCGTTCCCTGCAGTCAGAACTGACAGCTTGGGAAAAGCTGGCTGCCTGAAACGTGTTTTCATTATGAACATCTTAACATTGCAGGGGGTTTGCTCCTGTTGTGTCAGATGTCACGTCCGTGCCCTTGGTTTGTCTTCTGTGAGTCTCCAGTTAATGCCACTGGATGCTGTGAGCCAAAGATCTGTGCGGGGAGACTTTAGTTGTGAATATGCACAGTGACAAAGGGAAGGTTAAAAAAACACAACAACAAAACACAACCACCCCAGGGCATTAATATTATCTCTTATAGTTCTCTCGTGAGAAAGACCAAGCAAGAGACATGGAGTAGCTGGTTCGATTCCCTCTGAAATCAGAAAGGCCAGGGAGGAGCATGAAACCTGCAGCCTGCTTACTTGCTCCCTCATCCACTGCGTTAGGAAGCATTTACTGAACATCCCTCAGTGAAAAGAAAATTCACACTATTTACACGTGTGCTAACAGCTGCAGGACTATTTCTGTCTCAGCCCATCCAGGATGTTCTTGTCCTGGAGGAAACAGAAGGTCATCTTCTTCCTGTGACCTTTTTTCTGTTAATGTTCCAGGCTGAAAAAATTAAAAAGAAGCGAAACACCCTGTTTGGAACGTTTCACGTTGCTCACAGCTCATCTCTAGACGATGTCGATCATAAAATCTTAACTGCAAAGTGAGTATCTGCTTCACGTCTTCCTTTATTTCTGTCTTCCTCTTTAGCCTCTCTTGTATTTAAACACGAGCGCACTGCGGGCTGTGCAGGTGCTCCTGGTCTCACTTGGCGTGCCTTTTGGTTCTGCTGACTTTATTTAGACGGGGTTGGGCTCGCTTCTTTTCATCAATTATGTTTTACGTGTGTAAAATTGAAATTGTAGTTGCGCAGAGCAATTAAAATCCCAGCAAAGTGGCCTTTCCTAAGGAGCTGGGAGGCTGCAGCATTTAGGTGATTATCCCTGGCAATCCCAGTTGTTGCTGCTCTAAAGGTTACTGCTCTGTTCTCGAATGTGGAATGAAAAATATCTCAAGCGTTAGGACACAAAGCTGAACCCCAGGCTCCCTCTTTCAGGCAGTGTGTTGAAATTTCAGTGTTTTCTCTTTGACCCTTGCTTTCAGACAAGCCCTGAGCGAGGTGACAGCGGCGCTGCGGGAGCGCCTGCATCGCTGGCAGCAGATCGAGCTGCTCTGCGGCTTCCAGATCGTCAACAACCCCGGCATCCACACGCTGGCCTCAGCCCTGAACATCGATCAGAGCTGGATGGGCACCCCGCGCCCGAACCCCTCGCACTTCATCATGACTGATGACGTGGATGACCTGGACGAAGAGATCGTGTCTCCCATGTCCATACAATGTACGTAAATCGTGTGGAGAGCTGGAGCTGCTACAGGTAGTTCAAACACATTAGGAGGAATTGAGGTGCCTAAGTAGTTCTTTAAAGGATCAAAGAGAAAATATTAGCTGCAAAGGGTTGGGAATGTCCGAAAGTGCCAGATCACACTCGTTGCTTGCAGCCTGTTGGTTCCAGCAGAGCTAGTAATTTGTCGATGTTACTTTTCATCATTTAATCAAATCTGTGCTGTTCTGTTCAGCTCACTGAGCAGAAGCATTTACAAAAAAACAAAGCTATGGGCTACGCACAGAAGTGAGAGGCAACTGAAGTGCATTTTCCCTTGGTTAAAGCACTTGTTCAGGATAGAAAAGGACTGGGAGCACCTCCTCCTCGTGTGAGCTTTGCACCTCTTGCCATTCTGAGCAGGAAGGAGCAGCCTGCTGTGGTGATACTGCCCGTCTTTAATAAATTGTTAAATATATACGGGAGCAAAAGCTGAAACCCCGGTGCCCACCTCCTGTGTATAGGGGTGTAGTCACCAGGGTGCACATTCCTTCCCTCTTTGTCAGTGCCTGTTCATATGCAAAGTGCATCAGCTCCTGCAGAAAGGAATGGGGATTGGGAGAGGGAGAGCCTGCTCTGAGCAGCTCGGTATCTGAAGGGCTGAACCTGAGTCACCGTGTGCCTGTTCCTCTCAGTTGCTGAGCTCTTGTGTTACGTGGAGGCTGTGTCCCTCTCTGGAAAAGGTTTGTGAATCAGCCCTGACTCTGGTTCCCATGTTCAACTGACCCAGATTCACAGGTGGCCTAGCTTCTCTCAGAAATGCATTTTCCAAGCACAGTTTTCTATCTCTAGCTGTTGCATAAGAGAATGGGAAGCGGCTGCAGACGCTCTGAGCACTGCTCTGCACCAGCGGGCGCAGTGACGCAGGCAGCAGCTCTTGGCAGGAGCAAAGCTCTCTGAGCTGCAGCTGGGAGGAGAGCAGAGCTGACTGCATTTGTAGCAGCCTTTTTAGCTGATTCAGGTGACTTTCTGGCTCCCTGGAGGTCTTTAAAAGACGTTTAGATGTAGAGCTTAGGGATATGGTTTAGTGGGGACTGTTAGTGTTAGGTCAGAGGTTGGACTCGGTGATCTTGAGGTCTCTTCCAACCTAGAAATTCTGTGATTCTGTGAAAGCCAGGCCTGTTTAACTGGGCAGGTGGGGGAAGCACAGACAGGTCTCGGGGCTGGTCGGAGGGCAGCAGGGGGTGAGACAGAGAACCCAGAGCCCGGGTACCTGCAGGACGCAGCAGGCAGGAGGGACGCGGTGCTGACACGTCCCTGGGGCTCAGCAGGCACAGGGCACGGAGCCTGGGCTTGTGTGTGCATGAGCTTAAAGCAGTGGTGCCCCACCAGCCTTTGTCTTCAGTCACCACCTGCAGTTAGGGGCTGCTCAGCACTTGGAAAGGTGCGAGCGGGGCGTTGGGGAGGTCGGGGTGTTCCGAAGAAATCCCTGAGCAGCAACTGAAGCACGCTCCCAGGGACGGGAGCTAGATAAGGCGTGAGCCCTGGGCTCAGATTTTAATCCCCTGCTCCTCTGTGCCTTGCAGCAGACACCTGGGGCGAGGTGTGTGCTCGCTGAGCGCTTGCTGTCCCAGTCAGCCCAGTAAGCAGAGCGGGGCCATGGTGCTGGTCTGCAGGGCTGGAACCCGGCAGGTCCCCGCTGCCTTCCCCCCAGGGCTTTGTCGGTGTCCAAAACCAGCATCAGGAGAGATGTAAAGTGCTTCCTCCCCGGGTGAGCTGGGGGTGTTGCTGGCTGCCAGTGATGATGTCCCTGTAAATCACTTTTCTCTCTCCCTCCCACCCCCGACTGGCCTTTCCCAGATGCAGCCTGGCTTTTTGGGCGCAGGTTCAGTGATCGCTCGTCTCTGTCCTCGGAGGATCAGTCCCTCTGGAAATACCCCGGTTTGGTTCTTTTTGATTATATATATACATTTTTTGTTCTACCCTCTGCCCTTTTTCTAGACTAAAAATACATACACAAATTTTCCGACTTTCCAGCACGGGAAACTAATGAATGTACCTCTCCTCACTGAGCCATCAGCATCTTTACTAACCCCTGGAAAGAGTCTGGTGGGACGAAGAAGAATCGCAGTTAGCTCTACTCCTCACACGCTTTGGGGATTTGTTTTTTTTTTTAAAAAAAAAAATCCGGTTACAAAATGGGGAGGGTTGTTCCTGCTTGTCCTTACCCCCTAGGCAGCGATGAAGGATTCAGGCTGGCGGGGGTGGCACCGCTCCCGTTCTCAGCCCCCCAGCCCAGGGGACCCTGCCCTCCCCGTGCCCACCCTGCGACGCAGGGCACGCTGGTGGCTGCCGTGCCTTTCCTGGAGCTTTCCCCAAACGTGCTTTTAAATAACGTGACCTGGTGGCACACACTGTGCTGATCTGTCCCCCCGGTGCCCAGATCCCTGGGGGCCGTGGCTGTGGCGTGCTCAGCCCCGGCGGTGCCACCTCCACATTTTTGGGTGGGTGACCTCTCACGGCAGGAGAATCACCGACCAGCAGGCATCAGCGTGGTGGAGGAAAAGAGAGTGTGCTGTGGCAGGAGAGGCTCTGTATCGGTACTGGTTAGGACTTGTGTGGTGGCAGGATTAAGAGCAGGTTATTTGGGTGACCTTTGTAAAATGAGCAGTCCGGAATAAAATCGTATTGCTGTGAAACGAGGCCGTGCAGCGGGGGAGGCAAGGTCTTGGTCCTGAGCTCACCGCAAGGTAAACCACGCAAAAGGAGAGTGCAAAGCTGTAACGTGGTAAATAAGGAGTGTAACGCCAGGAAAAAAAAATAGGGACAAAATAAGTCCCAGGAGAGAAAGGCAGAAACCCAGAGTGGAAACCCCTCCTGCCCCGGTTCATTATTCTGTAGAGCTTGCTTCCCTGTTAGCCCCCCAGACCGAGCTCCTTTTCTGAGCTGTTTGTGTGAACACAGCAGCAGCAGCAGGCAGGTTGGGATCTGCTGTGCTATTCCTGGCCCTGATGCCGCAGTTGGCAGCGTTGCTGCTGCAGAGTCACGGCAGGAGAGCTTGAACAGCCTCCAGTCCTCCCCATTAACGCTCTCCCTTTCACCTCCTCTGATCAGTTTTTTGGTGGTTCCCACTGGAGTGAGGTTGTCGGGTTTTTTTTCCACTCGGAGTCCCTGTGACTCACTTTCATTTAATTTCAGCTCAGGAGTTGTTCAGAGAAAAAAAATCTGAGATGGAAAGTGGAGGCTGTGGGTAGGAAGCTCCGGCAAAGGATTTGCAGGTGGCCGAGTGGTAAAAGCGAGAGTTGGCAAACTGAGGAGTGAGGCCCTGCGGGAAACTCATTAACCTTGGGAAGGGGAAAATAACGAAGGTGCCTGAGTTATTGCTGGCTGGACCAGATGATCACGGAGAGCCTTCCCAAGCTTTGTGATTCCATCGTTCTGTTGCTGCTTGTCCCTCCTTCCACATGAAGCGCATCCCAGCAGTGACCCCACCGGTCCCCGTGGCTGCAGCTGAGCAGCAGCAGCTCCGTGTTTCCCAGCTGTAGTTTTTTCTAGCAGCAATTTGCTGGTTCTTCGATTCCCAAAAGAGCTCTCGTTCTACTTCATTTCTTAGCTTACCTGTCTGTTCACCTTTTTAACCATCTTCACATTTACTCCTTACGCCGTACGTCCAGCCCTGAACACCTTATCTCCCACGAGAGGTGGAACATCTTGTATGGAAGTGACAGCGAGTGGGTTAGGTGGTGAGAAAGCCACCGAATCCTTAGCTAACGGTGGGTTAATGAGCTCCGTGTATGGGGTCAGGGCAGCGGTAACGGGCTGAGCTCTCTGCCCCGTGTTACTGCTGGGTACAGCCACGTGGCCAAAAAGATCGCTGTGACCGTAAGAGCTATTAATTAACTGGTGACAGTGCTCCGAAGCAGACAGGCCAATTTGTTTCTTTGAACCACGATGGATTTGCATTTAGAGAGCGATGTTTTTCAAATTGAGCATCTCTTTGATCAGTGAGCCAACTTGTGAAGCAGCTTGGGAACAAGGGGCAGCGCTGTGGATCCAGACCTCTAATTCCAGGTGTCTGCTGTGATGAGAGCTTGCGTCTGCCCAGCTCAGAAATAGTTCTGTGCATCTGCCACACGTCCCAGCTGTTCTGCCCTGCAGGCAGGGTGCAAGTCGAAGAGGTTTCTGCATCTTCCCAGAGGCTTTCCTGCCCCTGAATACAAAGCACCTCGCAGCTCTTGGTGGCACTGGGGCACGTCAGCTTTCTGGGTGGCACTCCAGGAGCTAGAGCGGCGCAGAGCTCCTGCGCGGGGCTTGGCCTCGCCGACTTCAGGTGCCTGCATCTGACCACAGCAGCACAGGCTCCTTTTTTAGGCTGAGGAGAAGCGGTACAGCCAGGGCCAGTGCCTGTGAGCGGTTTGGATGCCTGTGTTAGGAGGAGATGAATCATGCCCTGCCGAATTCACGCTCACAGCGAAGGAGCTGGGTGGCAGCTCTGCTGGAGAGCTGGGTGGGATGAATCATGCAGCTTCGAGCAAGATGATCAGATAAGGTGTTCAGAAAGCACCTATACCAGGAATGCCAAGCGTCGTTTCTCATGGGCTGCTCATTAATCTGGCATGCTCAGCAGCAGCAGCAGCTTGATGCTTCTCCCGCATTAAACCAGCATAACCCAGAGCACAAGGTGGGGTGGCTGCAGTGGCCCAAGCGAGCGTCCTGGGGACAGGAGGCACGGTGCTGTGCCGCGTAGCACTGGCCGTGGGTGGCAGCTTTGCCTTGCTGACCCGACGGGCAGGGTGTTCAGCTGCCTTCAGCATTCTCCCCTTTTCTCTCGTTGCAGCTCCTGCCTTGCCCAGCACAGTTCGCCAGCGCCTGGTGGACCCACAGCACGCCCACGGATCTCAGAGGTTGGTAGAGAGTTACGTGCAAGGCCAGAATGAGTCGGGGCAGCCTGCCCATTACCTGGCAGGCAGAGTCTCTCTCCGTCGAATGCACAGCCTCTCCTCTGGACAGTCTTTCAGTTCCGACCTTCCTGGCACCAGCCCATCATCTGCTACCACCGCCACCTCTTGCTCCTCATCCACCACTACTGCTCCTGCTCCTGCTTCCCATGTCCACCCTATCTATTACCATCACACCGCCACCTCTTATTTCCTTCAGATGGACTCCACCCCTGATCTACCCCCTCCTGATGTCACCTCTGGAGTTCGCTGTCGCGCTGAGAGCTTTGGGTATATTTTGCTGTTTCTTTTCTAGCTCCTCCTTGCCTGCTGTGTCTCAGAGCTGATGCTTGCTGGGGTGCCCTTTCTCCTAGATTCCTTGAGCCCTTTCCTTTTGGGCCTCCGTTTCATTATTTATCCACATTTTTGATTCTTCAACCTCTCCCCCATGCAAGTGGACTCTGTGACGAGTGCTCTGTGGCCTGTTCCCATACCCATGAGCACAGTGGGTGCATAAAGCACGGAGGTGCCGTGGTTCAGCTGTAGCTCAACAAATGAGAATTCCTGGGCACCCAGCTACCTCTTAATAAGTCAGTCCTTGGGTGATGCACCTGGGAGAGCAAAGGTAACACAAGTAATCAAACAAACGCTGACCTTATTTGAAGCCTTGACTTGTTTGGGGTCTTCACAAGCAAATTGCAAAGGAAACGTACTGGGTAGGTGCTGTGAGCAAGTAGGCAGAGCTGCTGGAGGGTTACAGTTTGTGCTGTTGTTTTAAGAAGAGGCAAAAAAACAGCATTTAGGAATTTTGTGTTTCAGAGCGACTCTTCCCCTCCTCTGTTTTGGGAAGGGACGAGGCATTTTGGAACAGCTGGGTAATGAGAACAGGAGGTGAAGCTTCTCACTGCTGGTCCGTGGCAGCAGTCGGGTTTTTTTTTTACCCAACTCCGGAGCGCTGTGTGAGCCCGCATCCCTTGGGGTGCTTGGTTCAAAACCCAGCTGAGGTTGGAGCAGTGTTTGGGGTGAGTGCTCGCAGCTCGGGGGCGTTGGAGGTGCCAGTGCTGAAGCAGGCAGGGGAGGGGAGCTGTGCCTGTCCCCTGGGGAATCCCACTGCTCCCTGCCAGAGCTGCCCTGGGACTGTGGCCACGTCACGTCACCTCCCTGCTCTTTGCTTTCTCCTTTGTACAATTAAAAATAGTCCTTGCCCTCAGAACATGGGAGACGGCCAGAGATCTTCCATGGCAGAAGCCGGGCAGGGCAGCGCCTTCGCACGTTTCTGTATCCAGACAGAAAACCATCCCCAGTCACCACATCCTCATCTGTCCTGGCGTCTCGTACATCGCTCCGTTTACTTGTAGGAACTTCTCCCCGTAGCTGTAGGCTCTCTCCTGACATCTCCGGCTCGATGTCCTTTGCACAGCCTCCGTTTTGGATCCCTGACCCTCTCGCTAACTTCTGTGTCTCGAAGCAGGGCTGCCCGAGGGTGCCTGATGAGCAGAGCAGTCTCTGAGCCCCAGGAATTCACAATGTGAATTCAGCTGAGGCTGTCCCAGCTTGACAGATAAAAGCTGGGAACGCTTCCCATGTCCGGCAGCCCGTGTTTACCGCTGCCCTTCCTGTGCAAGGGGCTTGTCCTGGGAGCTCGAAGGCTGATTCAAAAATGCTGCTTCAAAAATAGCTCTATAAACATTTTTTTTTTCAGCTGAGTCCTGATCAGAGAGATGCTTAATTGCTGACCGGCTGAAAGCCTTGGTGCTGCAGGCTCCCCTGAGAGGGGCAGAGGGAAACGCGGCGTGGCTTTGGGATCCCCATTAGGAAAGGCAATGATGCTGAGAGGTCATTAGGAGAGGATAACCGGCATCTCCTCATTCCCCACCGGCACTTAGGAGCTTATCAGGACTAATTATTGACTGCTCACCGAGGGGCAGGGCTGCTTTGTGCTCCCAGAGGAGGGGGCAGCTGCTGCGGCAGGATTTTAGCAGTGGGTAGTTCTGCAGAGTAGGGGGATTTGGGGTAAGGTTTGATGCAGCTACACAATAGCAGACCCCCAAATCCATCCTCATTCTCTATTCATCATGGAAAACAAACCTGAAGAATTGGGTACGAAAATGGGTTCTTAATGTTGTTGCTTTTAAATTTTTGCCAAACTGCATCGTTAGCAGATCCTGCTTCGATGCATCCCTATAAAAATACTGCCGTGCAGGCAAGGCGCAGCGCGAGCCAACACATTGCTCTTAATTTCTCTTTTATACAACCAGTCTCGGAGGCCTTTATAAACATCCCTCCAGCTCCGCAGCCTCCCAAACTGGCGAGCAGAACAGATGGGAAGCTGAGGCTGAGAAAAGCCTTCCAGGGAGTCCCTGCCAAGGACGAAAACAGAACCCACAAAAATCCTGGGCAGGAAGAGCGCTGCCCTGAGCGTTTCGGACTGCTGGATCAGATCAGTTCAGCCGCTCTCGTGGCCAGCAGGCGCAAATGTTGGCGAGACCTCACGAGAAACTTGTCTCAAACAGCCCGTTCCCCCAGAGGAAGGCTCGGAGGGTCCTCCCCGTGTCCTGCGAGCTGTGCCTGGCGGTGCTAAACCTGCCCGGAGCTAACCCGGTAGGGACCTCTGCAGGCACGGCCAGTGCGTGGCCTCCCCGTTACCCTCACCAACTCCTCACTGTCTGCTTCTCTTTTGCAATTGGCTTCAGAGGATCCGGTGCAAATAAGGTCAGAGCTGTTCTGGTTTTGAAGGCTGATGTGTGTTTATAAATGTCGATGAAGGGGGCTGGATGTCCCTGGGGGGGAGAGGGGTTGGAGGGTGCTGCGTGCACAGAGGTTTCTGCTCGCCAGTGCCTGCTTTAGGTGGTGCCAGTGGATAAACGGGGTGGAGATGGGGCTGTAGGACCAAACCCCCCGCCCTGGCGACCCTTTTCCAGCGGGGAGGGGAGCTGGCAGCCACGGCAAAAGCCGGGTGGCAGCGATATGGCAAAAAGAGTAACTCTCAGCTCTCCTAGAACAGAAGGGCAGAAATTACGGGTGGAATTGTGTATTTGAGGCCATTCCCGAGCCTCTGGCTGTGCACAGCACAAGGATCGAGCTGTGCAGCAAATTCGGTGCCCGGTGCCGCGTGCCGGGCGGGTGGATGGAGCTGGCAGCTGCAGGACCCCCGGGGGGGACGCAGGGAGCCGCAGAGGCAGCAGGGTCTGGGAGGCCCCAGCACCGAGCCCTGCTGCAGCCCGGACACGTCCAACGCCCTTGAACCTCCACTCGGTTTCTTGGAGCCTGTGCCCTGGGTGTAGCAGGCAGCAGGAGCCCACTGCAGGAAATCATTCGATGGGCAGCGGTCAAGGAAAAATCCGTAGTTATTCTATATTGTCCTGTCCTCTCCCCTCTTCCTCCATCATTACCAGCCCTTCTCTCTGCCATCTTTTGCTTCTTTTGTTTGCAAAGCGCAGCGCATCCCATTATTTCCTCGCTCTCTCATTCACCCTGGGCAGTTTGGGTTCCTGGAGCAGCAAGGTAGGAAGAGAACCGAGTGGGGAGCAGGAGCCTCCTGGAAGTCAGCGGGATCCGTGCCGGCCCTTTCTGGCCGATGGCAGTGATCTTTCCCCTTCTTGTCCCTGCTCTGGGCTCCGGAGCGTCCCCAGCTCTGTGCTGCCTCCGGCCAAGTCAGCACACAGCTGGGTCGTGTCCCAAGGATGGCACATCCACCCTCCCTTTGGGAACACATTCCTGATCTATAACTGGATAAATTATGAACAAAAAGGCTCAGCTTAGCACCGTTTGGAGATCTGAAGAATGCCTGATGCTGGCCTGAATCCTGACACCAGTCCCTTCAGTCCTGTGGGCAGCCAGCCCGAGTGCAAGGGAAGAAGCAATTGTAATCCAGCGAGGTCTCCTCGTCAGCAGCCCACAGCCCGTAATGTCTGCAGGGAACACATCCTGTGCCCCTCAGGTCCTTCTCCTGGGGGCCTGCCCAGCTCTCTCTCTAGCTCCACAGCCCCAGGAGACTCTAGATATCCTTCCGTAAAGGTGAGCATTATTGCAGAGGGGATGTTCCAGACGCACCGTGGCGATCGGAGCATTGACCTGTGCCAGAGCCAGGCTTTTCGGAGCCCCAGTGCGCGTGGAGGATGGAAGCACAGTGGCAAACCCAGCTTCCAGCCCGGGCTGGGACATCCCAGGGAAGCCGTGGATGTCTGGGGTGAGGAGCTGGAGCCACACAAAGGAACTGCCAGCCCCTCGGTGCCGAGGGCTCCTGTTATCAGAGCAGCCCCGGGGAAGGGACGCGGTGGCCGTAGCATCCCCAGGGAGCAGCTCCCGGCCGGTCCTCGGCACCAGCCAGGGGCAGCCGGACCCCCGCTGCGAGGCAGGGACCAGCTGCCCGGGGTCGGGTTTCCAGCGTGTGCAGGCAGAGGAAGAAAATCCTGCTCCACCAGAGGATGTTTCTCCATCTGCTGGCGTCATTTTCTCCGCGGCCGTGACCGTGCGGTCGCTTTTGTCCCTTGTCAGGACCTTGTGCAGGGCAGGTGAAGGCAGTCTGGGTGAATTAACGTCCGTCTGCAGATCTCAGCGAGGAGAAAGCCTGCCCTCCTCATAAATGAGGCGTTTGTGAATCATCCGAGATCCCTCACTTCTGCTGTATTTGCTGTTATCTCACTTCTGTTCAGAACAACGTCTTCTTCGCTGACTCTCTCCAGGCACCTCAGTGCTTACGGCAGCCAGTGGGAGCTCTGGGTTGGTTTTACAGGAAAAAAAAAAACATCCTTGGGTGTAGGCACAACTCTGAATTTCAGCTGAGCAGGTTACAAACACGCTTCTGTTACCCCGACACGCTGCCCGTGGTGTGCAGCACGGGGCACTGCTGCCGTGCGCTGAGCTCGCCCCACGCCTGCTCCGAGACAGGGGCTGGCGAGGAAGGGGCACAAGGGGCCCATGTGCAGCCCCACTGATTTGTAGGGCACCTCACTGCTGCTCGCAGAGCTGCCCGTGGGCCCCGTTATCCCAGTGAAACCCTGGAGCTGCATCCACTGCGCCCTGCGTCAAAGTGACCTTCTGGGCAGCCGCAGCATCCATGGGCTCGTGTCTCCATCGGTGCTCCCATCGCAGTTGTCTCCCTTGGAGCGCGTCCAGAGCTCTCTCAGAATAGCCGGGGATTTCACACCATCCAAATGGTTCGATTCCTGCGCTCCCCGGCCCGCTGCTAACCTTGGATGGCAGATGGGCTCGGCCGTGTGTGTGTGTGAAAGGCAGGGACTATTCCAGCAATGCCCGCGGCTGTTTGCCTCCTGTTAAAATCAGAGATGAGGCAGGCTCCGCAGCTGGGCTCTCGGAGCGGATCTGGGGCTGTATCCTAGCCATCCGTGAGGTTTTGCTAATATCCCGTTCCTCCTGTGGAGCTTGGAAACAGAAGCCCAAGTCCTTTCGGTAGGTTTGTTCCAAAATGCCCTTGCTGCTGTGACGAAGGACGATGCTGTGAGGATAATCCTCCCTTCCCTCGCAGTAGCACAGCCATGTAGGTGACCTCCCTTGTGCTCTGTGCAGCCACTTTTCCAGCAGTGCAGTCCTGGTGCTGCCTGGAGCTCTCCTTCTTCACGGGCTCTAGTGGAGGCATCTCGTCCCGTCCTGCCTTCCCCTTTCTCCCTCTGGGCTCTGGTGCTGTTCCTGACGGCATCCCCCGGCAGGAGCTGTGGGTCTGGGCCGGGCTCTGAGCTTGGCACAGCTCGGCCACGTCTCGGGGCTCGGCCACATCTCGGGGCTCGGTCACACCGAGCTGTCAGCTCTCGAGGGCAGCACGGCCCCGAGCTGGCGGGCGCCTTCCCATCCCCTCCCCTGCCTCTCCCCTGCCCTCCGCTCTGCTCTTCTCCTCTCCACTCCCTTCCCCGCTCCGTGCTCCTTGCCCCCAGCCTGTGCAGGTGACGAGAGGTGGCTCTGACCGACCCCTTGCAGCCCTTCGCTGCCCCTGCATGCACACGGGCGGCGGTGGCGGCACTGCAAGGGGTGAGGGCAGCCGTGGGGCAGCTGTGGGGCAGGCAGTGGGGCAGGCAGTGGGGCAGCAGCACAGCTCCATCCGGCTGCACCCACCCTGCACGGGCACACCGGCAGCTCTTGGAGGTACCACAGGGCCGTGGGGCCGGGGCACAGCAGCGCTGTGGGGCGATGGGGGCTGCGGCTCCCCGTCCCCCCTGCCTCCGCTCCCCGCTTGGGGAAGGAGGCGCTGGGGGTGGCGGAGCGGCGCCCCGTTGCCTTTGAGGACCACGAGCAGGCAGCAGGCTGGGGGCACAAACCGCTGTGCAGCAGGGGCCGGGCTGCGGGCCTGAGCCGTCGGGGCCGGCCGGGGGGCGCACACAGATGCAAGCTGAGGGGCTGGAGAAGCCCCTGGTGAAAAATTGCCCTGAAACCTGGCCCTGGGGTGGCACGGGGGGGTCCCCGTCCCCAGGGTGCCCCCACCAGCAGCCGCCCGGTGCTGGTGGGGAGGAGCGGGAGGGGGCAGCGGGAGCAGGACAGGACAGGGCAGGCCCCAGCCCCGCTCCTGCATCCCCAGGGGCCGTGGGCTGGCTGCTGCTGCGCTCTGCTGGGGGCTTCCCCTGCCGAGCCCCCACCCTCAGCTGCTGCATCTGTGTGCGTGTGGGCCAGGGGCAGGGGGTGGGAGGCGGGCGGGGGGTCCGCGGCGCGAGCAGCGCTAACGAGCAGCGCTAACGAGCTGTCCTCCTCCGCCTTTCAACCCCCAGAGACTTAACTCGCTGCGACTCCGAGTCCTGCATCCCGCACCTGAGCGACCACCAGCGCATCCCCAGCGCTGCGCCCAAGCTGCTGGCGGCGCGCCCCAACCTGCTGACCCGCTCCGTGGAGGAGGCTGCCCCCGCGCACCCTGCCCTCGGCGCGCCCACCCCCAACGGCGGCAGCCGGCACGCCGAGGCCTCCGCGCCGGGGGCTGCGGCGGAGCGCCCGCCCGAGAGCCCCATGGTGATGAAGAAGATGATGACGGTGAACCACGGCATGGAGAAGTCCTCCAGCCTCGGGGAGATCAGCCACCCGACGGCCGGCAAGCACAGCCACTCGGATTCGTCGCGGTCGCACAGCCCCAGCTCCACCGACCCCGACACCCCGTCCCCCATCTCTGACTGCCGGCCCAACAGCGCCAAGAGCACCCGCATCCCGCAGCTGGCTGCCAAGAAGAGCCCGGGGGACGAGGACAGCAGCTTGACGGGCGACGAGGTTGACCTCGGCCAGAGCAAGAAGAAGTTCCCCCTAAAGATCTTCAAGAAGCCCAAGAAGTAGAGAGAGGAGGGAGGAGGAGGAGGAACCGCACGGACGCGACCCGCTGGGCCCGGGGGCAGCGCCGCGACACCCCCCCGGCCCCCACGGGCGCCCTCCCTTCGAGTCGTGCCAGCACCCGCGGCCGGAGGAGCCACCTCGACTTATTTATTTCCTGATCTCTGAGAAACCAAGAAGACGACCGCTCCCCCGAAGCCAGCAGCCGCCCTTTTTCCCCCCTCCCCGTTTCCGTCGCCCCCAGCTTTGCTGTGCATGGCTTCCAGTTACTCCTGCCTCCGCTCAGCCACACGGCATTTGGGTTTGGTTTCAATGTGGTTTTATTTTTTTATTTTTTATTATTATTTTGTGTTTTTTGTTTTGTTTTGTTTCTTCTGCCTCTTCCAACCTTTGCACAGGCTGTTTGGATGGCCGGGGTGGCGGGAGCCTTGCCGTGCCGCACGCCGGGTGCCACAGCCCGGGCAGGGGGTGCCGCAGGTGTCGGCGGTGGGGCCGGCGTCGCAGCCGTTCTCCTCCCCTTTACGAGTCACTTTTCTTGCACCCTGGCCCCCAGGGTGGAAGGGGAAAGCCCCCTTTGTGCGCTCTTGATAAGCGAGAGCGAGTCCAATACCTCGGAGGGAGGGCCCTGCCCCTGCTGGTACTCGTGCGGCCGGGAGCTGCGGCCGGGAGCGCGCTGCTGAAGCTTCTCCCACTCGCACCAGGGAGCTGCCGCCCGCGGGGTGCTCACACCCCTGCCCTGGGCAGCGTCCCCCCCGCCGGGTTCGTGGCACCAGCGGCATCCATCCGTGGTGCGGGGCTTGGATCCGGGGCAGAGGAGCCCCCGCCTGCCCCTGTCTTTGCTTCCCTGCCCGGGGGAGCAGGGCCAGGGCCAGAGCTCAGCTGGGCACTCAGCAGGGGCGTGAGCACCAGGGAAGGGCCCGGGGCATCCCCAAGGGGCATGGGGACAGGGCCAGCCCCGGCTGCCACCGCTCTGCAAGGCGCCTGCAAACACGGGGCCACGGCACCCGTCCCCAGGGCAAGCCCAGAGGGGGGGTGCGGGGCACGACCAAGCTGGGGGGCAGCCTCCAGGCTGGGGGTGTGGGGCTGGGTGCGTGCCCATGGGGCTGGGTGCATGCCCAGGGCTCTGCCCTTGGGCTGGGGCAGGCTGGGGTGCGGGTGTCGGCTGGGGCCGAGCCCCTGCCCCAGGGTTTGGCTGCTCCCCTGTCCTCCCTGCGAGGCTGCGGGGCTCCTCCTGCCCCAGGCACCTTCCCCAGCACAGCTGCTAAGGGGAAGCCCCTGCCCCTGCCCTTGGCTGAGCCCTGCTCCGTCCCGGGGCCAAATCTGCTCCCTCCAGCCCCAGCCCCAGCCCCTGCCCGCTGCCCTCCCCCAGCGGACGCGGCCGGAGCTCCGCCAAGCCCAGGTCCCGCTCCCACCGCCCCGTCCACGCCGAGCCGCTGGCCCTGGCCGCCGGCACCGTCCTGGGAGGCAGCTGCTACCCCGAGGCCACCCGGGACTCGGCCGCTGCCAGGGGAAGGCGCGGGTCCAGGAGGGGCAGGGAGGGAGGCAGGCGGGATGCCAACAGCCCCTCGGGGCCTTGCTTTATGCCAGAGTAATATATTTGTGTATGTTGACAATACAGGAAGGGCTATCGAGGTGTTTTTCGTTTCCTAGGTGGTAGTTAGACAATTACACTGTTGCTTTGAGATAAGTGAAAAATTCCTCTAAATGACTAAGTGCCTGCACTTCCCCGCGGCTGCTCCCGGCTGCGGGGACGGGGTCCCGGCAGCGGGGGCGGTGGACGGGGGCTGCTCTGCCCCCGCCGTCGGCGTTGTCACCGCCTCGGCCGGAGCCGGCCGGGGAGCGGAGCCGGACCCCCGGGAGGGCCGGGGAGGCCTCACGGAGCCCCCCCGGGGCACGCGGCCAGCGGGGGCTGCGGGCTGGAGCCGGGGCCGGCGGCGCTGCTCGCGGTGGCGGAGACCTGCGGATGCTTTCTGGAGAAGGGGTTGGAGATCCACTGAGCGGCAACTGTTGACGCGTCTGCCAACTCTTGATTTTTTTTTTTTTTTTTTTTTTGTCATTTCATAAAACTTTTAAATCCAATAAAGCATGTAGTATATTTTACCAGCAGGCGCCTGCTGCGTTCTTCACCCGCCCGCAGACGTGGGGGTCCCAGCGGGGAGGGTTGGGGCAGGGGCTGCCCGCAGACAGCGACCTCCCCGGGGCCGTGCCCCCAGCCCGGCCCCCCCGAGCTGCCCCTCGGTGCCTGGGCCCTGCGGTCCCGGTGCTGTGCCCTCGGAGCCCTCTCCCCCCAGGCCATGGTGGGAGCCACTGGTGCTGCCCCAGTAACGCTGCTGCAGGGACGGCCTCGTCCTGCCGGCACAGCCGCAGAGCCCAGCAGGAGCAGGGAGAGGGCGGCTGCCCTGGTGTGAGGCTGGAGAGGCTCGCAGGACGGACAGACGGACACCAGGACCGGGGTTAAAAAAATCTCCCTGGGGCCCTCGGCTTGCCCAGCTGCTGGCCTGGCCCTGGGCAACCTCCGAGGCAGCGAAGGGACGGGCACGTCCTGGCCATTGCTCAGCCCTCGCCAACACCTCACCCCTCTCACACCCTCTGCGTGCGCAGCCAAAGCCAGGGGGACGCCCGCACCCCGCACCCCCCGGCAGCCCAGCACTGCGCCCCCAGGGGTGGCAGCAGCAGGATGAGGCCCTGCGGGATTGGGGTCCCTGCAGCTCTGCAGGCAGCAGCGTGCGTGGGCTCGTCCCCACAGCCCATCAGTGGTGGGCTGCAGAACAGTTCATTGCAGCAGAAGCAAACACATCTGTGTGCTCGCAGCCCCCTGAGGCTCCGAAACCACCCCAGGGGCTTGCTTTGCCCCCGGCTCGGGATGGTGCCCAGGGAGCTGCCCCTGGCTGTGCCAGCCCCCTGTGCTTGGGCCACTGCCCAGCTGCCACTGGCAGGGGCACTGCCACCAGCCCGCCCCCCACCCCGGGACAGCGCTGGGTAAGGGGCAGGGACGTGCACAGCTGCCCCCAAACCTCTGATGGACACGACAACCACCCAGAGGTGGGTAGGGCTGCAGCACAGCCTGGCAGCCGGAGCTGCTCACAGAGAGTCCCTTAGAAACACTTTTTGGAGCATGTAGAGCATTTCCAGGAAAGAGAATTAAAACGTGCTGGGATCAGTGGTTAATGTCCTCTGGGACCGTGCGATGGCACAAGGGGAGCCTCGTGCAGCAGCAGCCACCCCCCGGCCGGGCGTCCCCAGCACCGGGACCGGCATCAGCTTAGGTGCTGCTGTCGGGCTGCGCGGTGAAGTCGCTGCTGGTCAGGGTGATGGTGAACGGCACGTTGATGACTTCTGCGGACATGTCCCGGCCGCTGGCCGCCCTCCAGGAGTTCAGGGGCTGGGTGGCTTTCCGGATGCGCTGCAGGTGGGCAAGGGTGAGCAGGGGCTGCCCTGAGCCCCCCCAGGGCAGTGTCACTGCGGGAAGGGGACAGCCGCAGACACGGCCACCGAGGGGCTCAGACCCCACCTTTCATCCAGGCTCTGTGACTTCATCCCTTTTTCTCTCTTGGGGACGGGAGAGCATCGCCTCCAGCCTGCTCCCTTCCCACCCCCAGCACCAGGACAGCCCCTCTGTGACCCCATCCCCATCCCCGTCCCCGTGCCCCTGCTCCTCCCGCACACTCACGTCGCTCAGCGTCCCCGACTCGCGGCACAGGGCCACGATGGCCCAGAGCGGGACCTGCAGGCAGGTGAGGACGCCCACGCAGATGCCCAGGCTCGTGCCCCAGGCCGGGTACGTGTAGGAGCCGTAGCGCAGGGGCACGCCGTACATCTCCAGGAAGGTGTAGATAAGTGTGAACTGCAAGGGCAGCGTGGGCAGGAGTGAGGGGACGGCGCAGCACCACAGGGAGCCGGGTCAGGGCCACCCCCAAGCCACCTCCAGCAGCCACCAAGGGCCCAGGACACTGGGACTGGGGTAACCCCGCTCCGGGGGGCTGGGAGAGGAGCTCGCCCCCCCTCAACCCTCAGCCTCCGGTGAGCGCCCGATGCTTACCAGCAGCAGACAGGGCGTGAAGAAGACCCAGCACAACTTGAAGTACCCCAGCATGTGGCTGCACCAGGGGGGGCAGTGGCAGATCATGTCCCTGATGTCCTGGCAGAACTGGTCGATGCCTGCAGGCACAGGGAGGAGACGCGGGAGTGACCACCCCACGGCACAGGGTGCACCCAGCGCGCACCCAGCCAGCTCCAGCGAGCCCCCAGCCCCGCTGACCGTAGCAGAAGGAGATGCCGAGGCACATGAAGAGGGTGATGATGACCAGCCCAAAGCCGGTGCTGTACGTGTCAATGAGGGTGAACCAGAAGATGCCTCCCTGTGAGGAGGGGAGGGACGGGGTCAGCACCTGCGGCCAGGGCCACCACCTGTGCCCTGGGACACGTGCAGAGGCCCAAGGGGAGAGGAGGCCGATCCCCGACCCCCACCCTGGTGTCACCCGAGGGGGTGGGTGCTGCAGGATGGGGGTGCCGGGGCCCAACGAACCTGGGTGATGAGGAGGAGCCCCAGCAGGTAGAAGGAGATGCAGAGCGCGCCCAGGAACAGCGCCTTCCTCCTCCACTCACGCAGGGCTGGGAACTCGTCCAGGATGGCTGTGGTGATGCTCTCGATGTTCCCAAACTGGGGGATGGGAAAAGTCGGTGGGGGAATGTCACCATCACCATCAGCCTCCCCCCATGGGATGAGGCTGCCCCAGGAACAGCCCCACACAAGGAGCCTCCATAACCCCGAGCCTGGCCCTGGCCTCGTGCTCCCGGTCTCTGCGCATCGTGCCGTCTGCGTGCCCAGGACGGGGTGTACCCGGCACCCCAAGGCCAGGCACGGGGCAGGACGTGGGGCTGCCCAGGGTGACAATCACCATAGTGTCCACTCCAAGCGTGAAGAGCATCAGGAAGAAGAGGATGGACCAGAACGGGGAGCCGGGCAGCAGGGAGAGCGCCTCGGGGTAAGCCACAAACGCCAGCCCAGGGCCTGGGTGAAGGGAACGAGGGGAAGCGTGAAGGACAACCGTGGTGGCAGGGCCAAGCCCAGCAAGCAGGTGACCAGGCTGGGTGAGCTCGGCTGCACTGGGATGTCCCTTGGCGTGGCACACCCGTGTCCTCCCCTCCCCAAACCCATACCTGAGTCGGCGACGCTGCCCACGGGGACGCCTTTCTTCAAGGCCATGTGCCCCAGCACCGAGAAGATGGCGAAGCCGGCGAAGAAGCTGGTGCAGCAGTTGCCGATGGCGATGACCAAGGTGTCCCTGCCGGGGAGGGCATCACAACCCCACGTGCATGGGGCAGGGGTGGACCCAGGAGCATCCAGACAGCTCCATGGCCTGGACCTCCCCATTGCCCCCCTTCTCCCCCCCCAAGGCTGTGCCCCACCAGCCCACATCCCCCAAGCTCACCGGATGACGTTGTTGTCAAACTTGTTGTAGGAGGCCATGGAGAGCAGCCCCCCAAAGCCGATGCCCAGGGAGTAGAAGATCTGCGAGGCCGCATCGCTCCACACCTGGGGCACGAGGGCGGGGAGGCTGCAGGGGGCCCCAGCCCGGCCCCACCGCCCCCACCCCAGGGACCATCGCAGGGTTTTTGGCCCCCCAGCCCCGGCGCGGGGTTACCTGCGCGCTCTGCAGCTTGCTCCAGTCGGAGGAGAGGTAGAAGCGGACGCCGTCGAGGGAGCCGCTCAGCGTGGCCCCCCGGATGATGAGGATGAGGATGACCACGTAGGGGAAGGTGGCCGTGAAGTAAACCACCTGCACGGGGCACGGCACCGCTCGGCCCCGCTCTGCCCGTGGGGCAGCCCCAAGCCCCCGCAGCACCCCCGAGCCCCAGCTGCGCACCGCTCACCTTGCCCGAGCTGCGGATGCCCTTCAGCATGCAGAGGAACACCACGACCCAGGCCGCCAGCAGGCACAGGGCGAGGGGCCACTGCACGGGGCCGGGGTCCCCGAGGCCGGAGCTGTGCGTCACCCCCAGCACCTGCTCCCTGCGGCACGGGGACGCGGGGACACGGGTCAGCGGGACGGGATGCAGAGCGTGGCACCGGCACCGGGAGTCCCCTTGCTGCAGGGCCCCCTCGCCTCCTCCGCAGCGTCCTCGCCCACCCCTCTGCCTTCCACAAAGCCCCCAGCACCACCGGCTGCTGCCCGTGGGCTCAGCCCCGTCCCAGGGTCGGTCCCCCCCCGACTTACTTCCAGAAAGCCTCGCTGGCGCTGGTGTGGGTGGCGCTCCCCGATGGATTCTGCATCAAAGCAAGGTCACCGTCACCGTCACCATCACCCTCACCACCACCCTCCCTGCCCAGCCCCAGCCCCAGCCTGACCATCCGCCCCCTCCTCTCCTGCTGCAGGCAAAGTTTGGCCCCAGGGAGCCCCCCCCGGGCCCCCTGCAGCGTCTGGCCCCGCAGCCCCAGCCCAGGGACACCGACCTGGCAGAGCTCCGCGTTCTGGGGGGCATCGCAGGACCAGGGCAGGGGGCTCTGGAAGGACGAGCCCAGGTAGTAGAAGGTCCAGGCGATGATGACGTTGTAGTAGAGGGACACCAGGGAGGACACGAGCAGCATCCCCACGCCAACGCCTGCGCCAGGGCAGAGGGGTGAGAGGGGCTGCCTCAGCAGGGACCTGCCCGGGGGCTGTGGGGGCACAGGGAGAGGAGCCCCCAGCCCCATCCCATCCCTACCTCGCAGGATGGGGCAGCACTTCCAGACCGTGATGGGCCCTGCGGCCCCGTACTGCCCCAGGCTCAGCTCCATCAGGAAGAGGGGCAGCCCCGTGAGGAACAGCAGGATGAAGTAGGGGATGAGGAAGACGCCTGGGAGGAGCAGAGGGGCAGAGGGTCAGGGGCACGGTGGGCGCTGTGCCGGGGTCCAGCAGCTCCCCAGAGGGCAGATCCGTGGTCCCGCACCCGCAGCAAGGACACGAGTCTGGGCAGGGCACAGGGGAGCAGGGAACCCCCGGGGGCTGCTGGCTGTGTCCCACAGGCTGTCCTCGTCAGCCCCACAGCAGGGACCCGAGCCAGGAGCCAGG